TAAAACCCCCCCCCCCCCCCGGAGTAACTGGAACAAGGCAGAAGCAATGAATCTGATTTACACAAATTAAGAAGCTGCTTGTTTAATAAAAGTTGTATTTCGAACAATATTTCAAGTTGTATTTCGAACAATTTCGTTTCACAAAGCATAATGACTGACTTTGATAGTCAATCTATATGTTCAGAGTTAAATATATCAGAATCAGAGGGAAATACAACCGAAATACAGAACCCAACATCTCAGGTTGTTGAACACGACGGCGAACAGTCTACCAATGAAAGCAGATTTGAGCTGGAATCGCTGGACATTTTTTCACAGCATTCAAGGGATAAAGAAAATAAAGATCAATGAAAATAAGGATCAGGTGAAAATAAAGATCAAAGCGAAGCTCCTTCAAACTTACGTAGACTTTTCGTCACAGAGAAAGGAAGTCTGAAATGGCGAAGCGATTATGAGGGCCTTTGTCATGTTGTTGAACAGCTACAACTACAGCCAGGGAAGTGGACTATACCGAGGGGACAGTGTAAACAATTTGAGAACAGCGATGTTGTAATATGCTGGTACATAAACTCTGGAACTTTAACGATAAAAGGGAATAAGGCAAAATAAATTAAAGAAAAACTTTTATATTTCAACAGTAATTCGAGCGACAAAGTCATTACAGATTCGGTTAGTTCAAAGTACAGTAATTTGCATTCCACTCTCAAGTCACAAGATAGTAATTTACATATTAGTTCACGAAACAGTCTCCTGAATAATGAAACACTACGATCTAATATGCATAATCCCTCCGTTAATCCGAATGAAACAAATTACACACATAACTCGGAAATTTATGAAATTAAATCTAACATGGAGTGTTTTGCCAATTCTGTCAACTGAAAATTAGAGGTCATTAGCAATGAAATATCTAGCATCAAAGAGTTTAAAGCTTACTCTATACTGTCATTAGAAGAAGTCGTTAGTGATTTGAAAAAGGAAAAGCTGGTGCTGAGCAACAAGAATGATAAATTAGGTGATAGACCTTCAAGATGAAAAAGCAAGCCTACTAACCGCAATGAAGTTAATCCAACGGGAAGGAAAAGATGAACTAGAAGAAAATGAAAAAAGGATTGAAGCCCTGGAAAACGAGAATAATAACCTAAGAGATGAAAAGCTCGGATTCACCAGAGTGATGAAACGGAAAAAGAAAATGGCTACCATTTCTTCTCCTGAAGCTACTAGCTCATTGAAAGTAAAGAATCAGTTTGAAGTTTGAAGCTCTGAACAGGAGGACGAGGAAGAGATTTACGAAACGAAGGTTAAATCATCGACTTTCTCACAGAAAGAAATTGCGGTCAATAACAATATAACCTCAAAAGATCCGCGCTCCCAGAATGAAAGTACTTCCTCTCAACCCGACTCATTATCAAATATTACTCCAACTCATCATACTACAGCCAAAAGTAGCAGCGACAGCCCAATCCTAATTATCGGCGATTCTATCATCAAACATATTGATCCTAAAAAGATCTCCCGAAAGAAAACTATTAAACGCACGTTTCCTGGCAAAACCGCAGAACAAATAAAAAGTGGAATCTATGGAGGTTGAAGTACTTCCTTCACACATTATTGTACATGCTGGGACTAATGACCTTTCTGTGCAACCGCCGCATAATTGCGTTAAAAACATCGAGAATCTAGCTTTATGTATAAAAAAGAAATTTACAGATTCAAGAATAGCAATATCCAGCATAACTGTCAGAAACGATTTGGATTTAAGCAAACAGATCTCCACTGCTAATGAAGAATTACAAAAAATGTGCTCTAAGAACGGGTTTGATTTTATTAAAAACAATAATATTGATGCTACATGCTTAAATGGTGGCCTGTTACACTTGAACTCAAAAGGATCCGCATTCTTGGCAACAAATTTTATTAAGTTCCTAAGGGGGAACAATCCAGCTGCATCAGAGTATCGCCAAAGGAAGAGAGGGGAGGATTTTCAAGGTCGCCGGACATATCAGAATCATTCACTAGAGGACCTACTGAGACTCCTATTACTCGCTCAGAGGACCAAGTATTAAGTAATGATTATAATCGGTGTGACCCTTCGACAGGTAAAATAGATGAATATAATAATATATTTTCTGATTTAGATTGTTCTAAAGGCCTAAAAATGGCAAATTTAAATATCAATAGTCTTTTAAAAAGTATCGACCAGCTCCGTATCATTATGCAAAATAGCTCTATTGACATTCTGGCGATTAATGAAACAACAATTGACCATTCAGTGTCTGATGATGAAATTAGCATACCTGGATATTATCATATCCGTAAAGATAGAAATAGGTATGGTGGGGGAGTGTTATTATATGTGCGAGAATCTTTACCATTTTCTGAACGAAATGACTTATTAATATCTGATTCGTTAGAAATGCTATGCATTGAAATTACGAAACCACACAATAAGTCATTTCTAATAGTTACATGGTATAGACCGCCAAATTCTGAGGTTAGTCTCTTTAATGAATACGAGACTTTTCTTAGAAAATGCGATTTGGAAAATATTGAAGTAATAATAATGGGGGATCTGAATTGTGATACCATAAAATGTCCTCCCGAAGCTCACACACGCAGACTACAATTTCTATCCTCACTTTACCAGTATAGACAACTTATTAATGAAC